TTAGAGTTCGGGCTTATTCATGCAAATAATTTTAGGAGGTTGAAAAGAAAGACATTATCTCTTGGTATAGGGGAAAATTTACAAATCTTCCATATTCAAAAATGGTTAATCGATAAAATTAAGCAGTAATTATCTAAAATTTCCTTTAGCATACCTTCAAGCTGTTAATTATAAGGTATGCGCTGTCAAAAATTATGCCACGAAAATCTTCCTGAAGTTAACTTGCACCAAAGGCCGTTTGAAAATTATTTAGGGAAAAGATAAAAAGGCCACGTATTATTTACACTGAAATAGTTTTTTCGACGCCCTAAAGTTATGCAACAGTTTTTAAGTTACGCTTCTTTTGAAATAGTTTCTGAAAAAGTACCTCCCAAAACTTTTACAAATTTTGGGAACTGATAAAAAAAATAACTGTACGAATGTATCTTTTTTGATGTACCAAAATTATAGGAGAAATATATGTCATACTTTGTTTTTTGGCTAAAATTATTCAAGAATATTCTTATGAACTTTTGTCACCAAACGACATACTCTTAGGCTGCCACTTCGCCAACTCTTGTGTTCCTGGTGCGGGTCAATACAACATTTTTAAGGTTATTTAAAATCAAGTCAACTTACCGGCTACAACTCTCTGGGTTATTCAAGTTTTTATTTGTAGTCTTCTGACTCTTTTTGAGTCTTCGTTCAACAATCAACAAACAGCAACAGGGCACTTACAAGAAAGTGTCACGAGAACCTCCACTGTACGGTTTTCTTTCTACGCAACCAATCACTTTACCGTTAAATGTTTCGCTTTATGCAACAACCGATGCTGCTCTAATGCAATGTTACGCAAGCATTAGTACGCGGTTACAAAAAAAAACACTATGTAGCGTATGAATATAAAGGCGAGGGACTATTTTTCTGCTTTGTTTTTATTATACGAATTTTTTTGATTTTTCTTCTTATGCACGTTTGTGTTTCTTAACTCGATTTTTGTTTTGTTCTTTTTGCGCAAGTAAAGAAAATTAACGAAATAAGTAAGTCACGTAGGAGCTTTGAATTTAAGGCGTTTGGTTAGTGTAGGGAAAAACACTACGGAAAGTTATGGTTTCAAGCGTTTTTCGTCAGGCATTTATTTTTGCAATCAAAATATATTTTTCCTTACTAAAGTTTTAAAAATTTTTTGGAAATTCTATTTAGTAATTTTTCGCAGTTATTTATTAGCAAATCTTCTCATGTACTTATTTATTGCTATTTATTCCGTTGCTCTGCTATTTTATGCTCAAACTTTACGCTAAACTTAGTTTTTCCAATTTCACTCTTCACGCGCTCCCTCGCTCTATCTATCCTTCAGTCACGAACACTTTGCTTTATTTTGCTTGCAACGCTTACAATACCGGAAATACGTTACAAAATGCGCTTTTGTTTTTGTCGACGAATTTCAGTTGTTTTATAGTTTAATTCCTGTTGTAGACGTCTTACAGCAACATTTTTTTCGCTTGTTTTTCAGTACTTATTCACTTCTCATTCGCTGCTGCCCTTTATTTCAGCATTTTCTCAGCGTTGCAATGGTGTGCGTGAATATTTCACCGATTTCACTTCCGTTGCGCTTTGGTGTTGCCCCTGTTTTCTGTTCGATTATTTTTTTTCCTTCTCAGCAGCCTTCACCGCTGCACTCTTCCTCCCACTTCACTCCACCTTGTCCTCCAATTGTACAATTTAAATGATTCCCAATCTTTTTCTGCAACTCGGATTTGCTTCCCTGATTTCTGCTTAAATTTTTTTAAATATTTTTTTCTTTTATCTTAGTAAGTTGTTTCTTTAGTTCCCTTTAGCTGTTTTGCTCTATTTCCCACTGCAATTTTTATTTTCCTTAGCTATTATTTTCTAGTTGCTACTTTTTACGATTTTTTTTTGTTCAACTTCTACTTAAGTTGCTTATTGTATTTAAGCGCCTGAAGCGTACTTTTGTAATGCATTGATTGAGTTTCCGTTTCCGCTTTTAAAAGCGTGACATTATTTTGCTTTCGCGTTTACTGCAATTCAGTGTCGCCAAATGCTAAGCTTTATTTCCCAGTTTATTGTTTATTTTATTGCTGCCTGCTGCTTTTCATTTACTTAGACTGCTTTAGTTAAATCCTTTTGTCTGCTGCATCTCATTTACAAGCACTGAAAGGACAAGAAAGTAAAAGCATTGAATCAACTCTAATGAAAATTAGCTACAAACTAGTGAATCGTCAAAAAAGATAAGAGTGAAAGTAATGATTTCCTAAATTATTCATCCAATCCTATTCTATGTATGTAAATATGTATCGCTCATTTTAAATTTGGAGGAGATTTTTTACCTTGTTTCACATTTTTATCGAATTTTAGTACCTTAGAAAATGCTTTTTTAACCCGATGTTTTTCTTACGCTGTCTTGGGAACGAAAAAAATTAGGAAAACTCTGCCTTCTTTGATTAAAAGATTATCCGCCGAACAAGTGTCATGGCTTGCTATCATCAGAGGAAATCGAGCAAATGGACTAAGCTCAATTGAAATTCTCTTTACTAGTCAGTGGCCATTCTGAGCAAATCCACTGACTTCCTTGGCTTTCTGTAGTACTGCACAAGTCTGGCAACCACATGCTATTTCTCCCGTTCATGCATAACGTCAAAATTGTATCGCTACTTATAGTATACGCACCTGTTCACAACAATCGTCTGAAACAACGTTTACACTGTCATAATTTTGTTTGCAAGTTAAGAATTAAATATTATTTTCGTGGTGGATGGTAATGGATCTAGTAAGTATCTCTGCCTCTTAACAAAATTTATTTAAATGTTGATTTTTTGTAATTACTTTCTAAGAGTATAAATGGTACTTGTTTAATTAAGAATTTTTATCAAGATTGTAGTCCTTACGAAAAGTTTTGAAATATTTCAGTGTCTGCCCTACTACTGAACTACTTTACTTTAGAGCAGAAAGTGCACATACTTAGTAAACTATGTAGTAAAAATTAGTCGCAGACTCACGCCGACTCAGGAGTAAAAGGCATGTGAACTTTGTAGAAGATAACACTGCTTACAAATTTGGTTGGTTGGGAGTAACTTGCCAAATTCAACGGAAATTATACGCGGAAACGGTGCAACGGAAGTGGTGCAACGAAATGATGCAACGGAAATGGTGCAACGGAAATGGTTGGAATTGAAACAAGTGCTTCTTGAGTGTATGCATATGGTATTAATTTAACAACCTCTTGCTACCAAAAGGTTAAAGAATAACACTTAGAAAAAGACCAACACAAAAAGGAAAGTAAAGGTGAGTACGTACACAGATAAAGAAAATGATAAAGGCAAAAGTAAAAAAAAAAAAAAACAAAGGTGCGTAAAGATAAAAGCAAAAATGGAGTTCAAAGTAAATTTAAACATTTAACTTTTATAGGGGCAAAGGTGAAGGGGAATATGTAGATGAAGAAAATTTTAAACATAAAAGTAAACACGAAGATAAATAAAAAAAAAAAGATGATAATTAGGATACCGATAAAAGTTAATATGAAGATAGAGGAAGAAAGATTAAAATAAAGGTAATTATAGAGAAAAGGATATGGATGGAGACCCAAAGATTCAATATGTGAACTGTTTTGGGGTTTCAGAGATTTTCGGTTAGATTTTTATTGGTTTTGTTATCGAAATTTTTATCGATATTGTTACCGATTTTGCTATCGATATCTTCGGAACTTTTCGATATAATAATCGATATTTTTATGGATTTTGTTATAGATATCTTTATCGATATTTTTAACGATTTTGTTATCGATACTGTCATCTATTTAGAACGAACAGGGGTAGAGATAGGGATCTAGATAGAAAAAAGACAAAAAATATAACCTTAAGCGAAAGTAGATGTATTTATGTATGTACGTATATTGGTTGTGAGACAAAATAGATATCTAACGTAAGTTTCACTTCTCCAGTGTGGCCCAGGCGCACTTACTTTTTTTTTAGCAAAAATAATTGCCAAAAATCAACGCGATTTTTCAGCCAGTTAAATGTTGCAATTTAATATATACTAAATTTATACTACAATTTAACGGGCTACAAAACTGCGTACTGAAAAATTTTTTACGAAATCGGATGAGAAATTAGCAAGTTTATTGAATTACCCTGAGATTTGCACAAAGTTTAGAAATAAACTGCGGATTTTTGTTTACTATCCTCTTTAGCTCAGATATAGATCAGAAAATAGTTTTGGCCGCCTAAATCGCCTGAATATACCTGTATTCGACATAGCCTTAAGCTTAAAAAACGGAAAACAACTTCCTCTGGAACGAATGGCGATTTTCTTCGAGATACATTTCGGCTCCTTCAGCATTGATATAGTTATATACACTGTAAAAGTTATGATCGCTATAATAAAAGTCATAAATTTACCGTTTAAATGGGACTTCCATCTCCAAATTTCTTAACCGTAATTTTAGGATTTTAACTTTTTCGATCATATTAGAACCGATAATTTTAGACTTAATTTTAATCATAAAAATCTAAAAAAATAAAAATTCAAAAGAACGATTATTTTTAATCCAGAAAAATAAAAATCAAAATAATTAAGTTTTACCGAAATATACAAATCTAAATATAAATATTATTCTTTATGGTAAAAAAAAACAAAAATATTTTTAAAACAAGATTTCTAAATATGAACGAAATCGTACCATAAATACTGTTATATCAAATATCTTGACCTCTGCGCCACCTACCGGCACAATTTATTCCTTTTTATGTAATTAATAAACATTCTTAATATGAACCAAATCGGATTACCACGAGTTTTAAATCTGAGTCCTCAATTCGCGTTTTAAGTAAGTTGACTCTAAAAGTTTTGTCGCGCAGACAAAAGTACGACCAAAAATACACTGCAGATGTGTGTAACATCAAAAATTTAAAACAGCACTACTTAATGCAAACAAATTGCCAGTGAATTAGGCTTGATTCATACTATAGAGTATTAGAAGCAGTAAATTATTTGCTATATCTTACCTTTCTATAAAACCAATATCCTGAAATCTCAACGATCAATATCCCATTGGTGTCCACTAACGCAGAAAGATATGTACGGCTTTGTAAGATTTAACTTTTATTTATTTCCTATAATTTTCTCACCTAATACTTTTTTTTGTTTTATTTAGTTGAAATTCATACAGTAGGCACTACGATAATTCCTGATTTTGAAGTATTATTAATGATTACACACAACTATGTATTTACTATGCTGTAATTAACAAAATAAATCCGCTTAATTAAGCATAAAAAGGGCTTCAAGACAATGCGCCAACTTTCTTTGCAATTTGCAGCGACATTAGAAGGGGCACTCAAAGCAGCGTGCTTTTTATATTTCGTCTACTTGTAAATTTGTTTGTCTACGCCTCTCACACTCGCACTCGCACTCGCACATGTGTTAATATGCTGCTATTGTTTTGCGCTATTAATTAATTAAATACATAATTTATGACTTTACATTAACAGAGCGAACGCACATGGGCATACACACTCAGCCATATACTGACGCGCAAACAAACACTTCTACAACAGCAACAGCAACACCAACTCGATGGCAATGCTCAAGTGGCTTTTTATTCGCCTGCGTATACGGTGGCGTATGGGTAACGCGACAACGGCGCCGCCACACTTTTGTAGTATTATTTTAGAGCTGCGCGTTTTGCGGTAAATGTGTTTGCACTTTTTATTATAAATGTTATTATTAAGCAGGCTTTTTATGTGTGTACATTTCCGTTGCAATTGTATGCGCCTGTCTGCTTGCTTGCTTACTTATTTATAAATTATTATTATATATTTTTTTATTTGCCTTTCATTTGACGATGGCGCCGTAGTGCAATAAATGGCAAACACTTTTAATTATTTCTTTCAGCTCTTTTGTCATTATTTTTTTTTTGTTGTTGTGTTTGCTCCCCTTTGCACATTTTTTGCGCAAATTACATCTATATTAATATGAATTTATGTATTTTAAGCATGTTAATTTGCGCGCGCATATTTTTTGTGTGTGTTTGTTGTTGGTATTGCTGTTGCAATTACAAAAAATAATATATTAAATATTTATAAACGCATTGCGAAATTGTGCAGCTCATTTGCTTCGTCGCGCAATTACATGCATTTACTTTTTTTTTGCGCATTGATTGTGGTATGTTTGTTGGTACTAACTTTTTTTTGGCGTTCTAATTTATTTGCATTTAATATTTGTTTATTGGCTTTAAAGTGCTTTACGCAACTCAGTTGATTTTATATATTGGCAAAATCGTATATGGTATTTAATTTGCTGATTATTAATGCTGCAATTTTCGTGTTAACGACATAGATATTTTACTCTAATTTACATGCTTCGTTAGGCGATCAGTTGATATAGAGGCTGCGGTACGCGGATATGAGTTAGCATATGCATTTACCTGGAAAAAATAATAGTTTTATTACATTAATTTTTAGCATTTAAATAAGTATATTTGTGGTAAGTATTGAATGAATTATTATAAACGTAATCATTAAAATGGTGGAAATTAATTGTTTTTGTTTGCTCAAAATGAAGAAACACTTAAACAAAATTGCAAAACCATATTTACTATTTTCTGAAAAGTAAAATTTTTAAAACCAACGGGAAGAGATATCCCTTACTCCTGAGCATGTAATGCCCGCAGATTAAATAAGGAAATATTTTTTTTAGTTTGGTAAAAAAAAAGAAATTAAATAAAATGAAATAAATGAAGGGGTAAACGCTGTTCAGATAAGATAATACTTTTATTAGTTTGGTTAAAATAAAAATAAATTAAATAAAGGAAGAAGTAAGTAATAAGAAATACAAAATCAATAAAAAATCGCCATTCTGAAACTGAATATACATACTTCAGAAGTTATAACAGTTAGAAGTAGGCGTGGTGGAATGGCCCCGAAAGGCGGTATATACCTTATCTTGCGTTCCTCTCGAAAGCGCTTTTTTCGAACTGGTGTATACGATAACTTAATATTTTCACGAAAATAAATGTCATTTAAAGAAATCACAGCCATTTTTGCAAAAAGAAAATGTACAATGGTTCTCCAAGTAGCTCCATAGCTACTATCTTCTTGAATGAGAAAATTAAATTAATTAATTTTTAATTTTCAGACAATTCAGAAATTTTGGAATAAAATTTAAAAACTCGCATTTTTTAAATGTGAACTAAAATGTAAAAAATAATTCATAGAAGTACAGATTTCGTATTTGAAGCTCCTTAAATTGATTTAAGTAAACTTTTAAAGCCAAACTAAAATGGGATTAAAGTAATTGACATTAAAATAAATTTTTCCGAAAAAGAAGAATTTTGAACAAATATTATTAATAGTAAGACTATAAAATCTAAGAAATACCCCACGGTAAAATTAATTTTAATGTCAATTACTTTAGTTCTATTTTTGGTCGATTTTAAAAGTTTTATTAAATCAAGTTAGGGAACTTTCTATTCCTCTTAAACGATATCTGTATTTCTATATATTACTTTTTTACTTTTTAGTTCAAATTTAAAAAAGGCGAGTTTTCAGTTTTTTAAACTATAATTTTATTATAATTTGTTTAGTTTAAATTCAATTACCAAAAAGTTTTACGAAAAACTAATTTTCGATTCAGATCCAGTGTGAATATCATTTTTGACTGAATATTTAAATATCTGAAAGTATCTAATGGCTGGATTACACGATCTCCACAATGCGCCTTATTTTATGCCCGTGTGATTTCACAATAAATTGACTGATGCAGCAATCTAGGTGCTTATTATGCCCAATAAAATATAAACCAATTGCATAAGCTGAGTTAATCGTGCGATTATACAGAATTTGATTTGGACATTTTCTTTATTGTGCGCCAAGTCAATATAATTCTACTCCAATGACCTAGATACCAACCGGTCATATCGTCTGCCGAACGATTACAATGTCTTCCAAGCAGAGATCCACCCTACAGAAAGGTCGGCTAGTCTTTTACTTAGTAGTAGGCTACCAGAGGATAAAGCCACTATCTTTATCGATAGTCAAGTAGCACTGAAGGCAATAGGATCTAAAATAGTGAAATTAGAAATTGTATGGAAATGTCGCACCACGCTGGCGTCATTGAGCTATCAACACTGGAAGCGGATATCTCCATGCTACCACCGTCTACCGATTATGGTAGGAAAATTGATAAATACACCGTGGTCGCGACGAATGATTTGTGGCATAGACAGGAAGACTGAAAGACCATAAAATTATTATTGCCGCTAAGAGGAACCTACTGCAGTAAGAGTCCTTAAGGGTGTTATCTCAAGACATTGCGCTATAGAACGAATGCTTCAACGATGGCGAATACCAACAAATAATCCCAGCAGAAGCTGTCGTGATGAGGATGAGGAAGGGTCAGTTGACCGCGCTCTGTCTCGGTGTCTGGGTGTACTGGAGATTTTTCGATAGCCCGAAAATTATATAATATTTAATTTTTTTTATTGTTCTTAAATGTGTACCTATGTATGTATGTATATGAAATACATTTTTTCATAAATTTCATATCTGCATAAAAAAAAATATTTGTTAACCTAGTGTATTTAGTGCCACATCTGTTGTATCTAATTTGGGGCTCGACAAGCTATTTTCTTTCTTTCACTACGTATGTTCTGTATATTGTTGTATGTTCGACTTCACCTCAACGAAACACAGTTATATATTTAGTAGGTTAAGTCACATAACTATTCGACTCCGAGCAATTATGTATTTTCATAGCTTTTAAATAAATCCATCCCGTAATATTGAGAGATATACAAAACCATATACGAATCAATATCAAAATTCCATATTTTTTATCATTTAGACTAAGGCCCAAACAGCAATAGCAATATCGTTGTCGACGACTGATATTTATTTTGGATTCAGCAACATAGAATCTTTAAAATAACAATAAAATCGATTTCGATATCGACATCACACAATTGTATATCCTTATCGCAATCACACTTTATCTTCAGGAATCTATCCAACATACAAATTTTTCTTTAAGGTAAGCCCATCGTCACACTCTCGCATGCTAAAGCTTTCTTACTATAGATAGATAGATACATGAATAATATCACTCATTTTCAAAAAACATGTGGCACATTTCAAGGGCACTTACATATCGTTTTGGTACATTTGCGTTGTATATCTCATAAATTTGCGCATTTTGCCTACACAGTTTGCTTTTAATGTTTTCTATTTGCTATTTGTTTTTTGCGCTACTAAATTTAGTGTTTTTTGTATTCTCTACAACAAGTTTTTGCTCATATGTAGTTGCCCGCTGCTGATTTTCGTGACCCTTTTGTTGATTGCCATCTATCATTCGTCTTGCTATTGTGGGCGTTGTTGTTGCTATAGTTGTTATTATTTGTATTCACCCTAGTTTGCCACAATTCTTTTGGTCAATAAAGCTTGAAATGGAGCAGACAATTGTTCATATGTAGCAAGGATGAAAAATGGAAATTTCAGGTTGTACCTAATATCATAAAATAAATGTATCCAAATGAGAATGATTGTACCTAAAAAAGTTACATCATTCATTTGTAATTTTTTTTATTAATTTTATTTAAAACATGAATACAAAAGATGGATGTACTTTAAACATGATTAAGTTTTTTTTTTAACTGAGCCTATATCTATATAGCCTTATTCATAAAAAATAAAGTAGGTTTAAAGAGCTTTATAAATTGACGTTTTCATACATTTTTCAATTTATAAACCTTTTAACAAACCCCAGTGGGAAAATGTAATGTATAGTAAATGAAAAAATAATCAGTAGAACAACCCTTTGCATTTTTTTCCCCAGGGCGATGTCCTAAGAAAAGTGGGGCATTCAATTTTGCATTACCTATTATCGAGAAATGAATGTGTCTTAATACACTATATTATTTATCACGCATGTATGAATAAGGCCAACTGACTATATTTGATGAGATACATGTTTATTTGTTTTTTTTTCTTTTTCTTTACCATGCTAATATACATATATTGAATGCATCTCATTAAAAGATGATTGTACCTCAAATATAGTGAATGTACGTAATGTACCTTTAAGTCATCAAACGTGGGAAAAAGGTACAATTTTACCTACTTTTTCATCCCTGATATGTGAGCAAGAATAAGAAGAAGAGGAGCGCTGTGCTGGTTATTCTTATGTGCAACCACTCACATTGATGGAGGCATACAGCAGCTATGGGGATGTGTATTTTATTTGCAGTGGCGTACATGGCGTATGAGTGACATTATAAACGAGTACTGACATTGAACTGGTGCGATTATATAGTGCGAGATGTAGATATTTGTGTATCTATCATCATTTACCGCCTCTGCCAAATTGTAAGTCATACAGAGGCCACAAAAAACTCCAGAAGAGTTGTCTAGTGGATGCGTTGGACTAGGCTGAGCATGCTTTTAGATGCCAATAAATTATTACTTTAATAAGTTCTGCTATATGACACTTGAGCAGTGCGAATTTAAAAATTTCAAAAATTTCTTAAAGGAAATGTTTGCACATGCTGCTGCTCACGTTCTTTTTCTGCCATATAACGCATGAACAAAATCTTATATTAAAGGAGGTACGCAACACCATCAACAAAGAATTTTCAAAAATCAACGGTAAATTTTGCGACTTGAAATTTGCACTCTTTATTACCACCAAAACTGCGTATTCTGAATTTTTCTCTTTCTATGTCCTGCTAAAATTTAATGTCTTACAAAAGATTTTTCTCAGGAATCGAATAAAAAATTTAAAATTTCAATGAAAATTTTTTGATTTTTCTTGCTAAACTTTAATGGGCTACAAAAGTGTATACTGAAAATTTTTCTAAGAAATCGAATTAAAAAATTGAAAATATCTTAGTGGTATTTTTTGCTAAAATTAAATTGCATAAAACTGCGTACTCAAATTGTTTCTAAGAAATCGTATTGAAAAATAGAAAATTTCGATGAAAATTTCTTGGTATTTCTTGCTAAATTTAATAGGCTGCAGCACAAACCTGCATACTCAAAATTTTTCTTAGAAATCGAGTTAAAAAATTTTAAGTTTGTAAGAAAAATTCTTGGTATTTTTTGCCAAAATTTACACTGCAAACTCAAAATGTTTCTAAGAAATCAAATTTTAAAAATACCAATTTCGATTAAAATTTTTTGGTATTTCCTGCAAAAATTTATTGGGCTATAAAAGTGCGTACTCAAAATTTTTTCAAGAAATCGAATTGAAAAATCGAAGATTTCGATGCAAAGTTCTTGGTATTTTTTATACCCGAGCGCACTTGTGGGCGAAATCGGACTGTAACCACGCCCACTTCCCATATAACGGTAATTTTCAGAAATACGAAAACTGCGATATTTTAGTAACTACTGGAGATTATTCACTCAAAATTGATATTTACAATAAGTTTTA